AGAGAGAGAGAGAGAGAGAGAGAGAGAGAGAGAGAGAGAGAGCACGAGAGAGCAAGAGAGCGCGCGAGAGAGAGACGAGAGAGAGAGAGAGAGAAAGAGTGAGAGAAAGAGCATGCAAGAGTGAGCGCTCAGGTGAGTATATTTAGATTTAGTATAGCACATATATATATATATATATATATTAATATATATATATATATATATATATATAGTAAAGTCACACACGAGCACCCGTGTAGATAAAAACAACGTGAAGGTATAGAATAAGGGTGTTTAAAGTTTTAATTGACGAGCTTTCGCAGATTACATCTCTTCATCAGGTCAGCAGACATTTGATTCTATTCCAATGATGTCTGCTGACCTGATGAAGAGATTGTAATCTCGAAAGCTCGTCAATTAAACTTTAAACACCCTTATTTTATACCTTGACTTTGTTTATATATATATTATATATTATATATTATATATATATATATATATAGATAAATAGATATATGTATATACATATATATATATATACAATATATATATTATATACTATATATATATATAATAATTATATATATATATATATATATTCGTGTAAAGAATACGAAGTAAGTCGTTTATTTTCACCTTCTGAGATTACTGGATGGTGTGGATAAGGTGACCCTGGCGTATCCTGGCTGCGACCTGAGAACCATTTGCTGCCACTTGCTGTTTGCTTTCTTCGTGTTTATACTCGATCGCAGGCCATGGTCCATCGAATCCGTCGTCATAGGAAAACGTTGTTTGTTTCCATATTTCAAAACGTGAGCAAACAAGCCGGCATATGATCAGGGTCTTATCAATAGACTCCTGATATGATGCATGGAGTGTGCGTTTCACGCAATATCTGTGTAAATGTTTGCGATAATACCTGGATCACGTCCGATCGCGGCGAAATTGATGTTATTTTGGCAAATGTAAGAGATGTAAGAAATTGCGAGGGGGGAGAAATAAATAATGAAGATAAAGAATCTAATCAACGCACTTCATCTATTTGTTGAGGATAGTAGAGCTTACGGTGGACTGTATTATCGGTATATAGGTGGTGTCTTTCATCATATCAGTTAGTTTAATTACGAGATATGAGGGCACGAATTTCACGGCTGGTTATTATACGCAGCTATTGTTAATTTTAGCCCCATTTTCATTGATTATATAATACTAACATATATATAATAAAACTATTATTATTACTTTAATAATAATTGAAATATAAATGATTGAGATTAGAATCTATTCATATAAATAAGTAAAATCGACACGACTAGTTCCTCATATAATGTTTTAAGTCGAATAATCGCAATAACCACGCGTTGGACAATATTAGTCGATAACATTCCAGCAATTTTGCTTAATTTAGCGCGTTAATAATTAGTCGATCGAACGCCCGTTCGTGTACGGGTCAACGTAATTAATTCTTAATTCACCACTCAAACACGCAACCGTACATATATTGCAGGAAGCGAAATGCGCCTACACGATCATCGTCATGGGATATACTGGATGACGGAGGCGCTCCCCTGGCGGTGACCTCCCTCATCCCAGCCTGCTGTTCCCGCTGCTCGGCGGTGCTGACGTCGCGCAAGGTCGCCATGCAGTATTTGAAGGACACGAACATGCTGTTCCTCGGCGGGGTTGGTGATGGCAAACTAGCTGATTGAGCACAGGAGTTTGCACCCGGCGCATCGCTCTCAAGGTAGATGACGCTCGTCGGATCGAAGCCACGCTGGTGAGTGCCAGCACGCCGGTTGACCGCTATGACAAACACGAGTGGGACACCCAACTCTCTCCCGTACAATCTCTCCCATTTCTTTTCTTTCTCTCTTGCATACTCGCTCTCCATCTCTCGCTAGCGCTCTCTCTCTCTCTCTCTCTCTCTCTCTCTCTCTCTCTCTCTCTCTCTCTCTCATTATCCTTCTCTGTGTGTGTGTCTCTCATTCTTTCTCTCACACACACACACACTCTCTCATTCCCTCCCTCTTTCTCTCACTCTCTAATTCCCTTTCGCCCTCTCTCTCTCTCTCTCTCTCTCTCTCTCTCTCTCTCTCTCTCTCTTCTCTCTCTCTCTCTTCTCTCTCTCTCTCTCTCTCTTCTCTCTCTCACTCTCTCTCTCTCTAATTCCCTCTCGCCCTTTCTCTCTTTCTTTCTCTCTCTCTCTCCCATGTCTTCATGCGGATTTGTATCTCTTTCTCTGTGTCTCTTGGTCAAACACCGCCACTTAAACCCAACACAAAACATAATACTAACCATAGCCTCTAACTATAATTCTAATCTTATACCCCCTCCCTACTAACGATATAGTATATTTTGAGTATTATATATATATATATATCAAGAGCTAATAATACCTATACCTATACCTATACCTATACCTATAGGTATTATTAGCTCTTGTATATATATATATACATACCAGCTGAAATAACAACTAGCTGCGATGCGAAATACGAAGTATCTAATCAGATTTCTAATCATCTACCTTTACAAGTTGATGCTGGGTATAATGGGCGCGACGCTTCCTTCTCTCTATGTGGATCAGCAATACGGCAGCGTCGGCCATGATGGTTCCCATCGTACAGGCGCTCATCAAGCAACTCACGGCGATCCGTAGCGAGAAACCTCCTACGGGTTAGCATCAGGGAGCGAGAGAGAGAGATAGGGGGAGAGAGAACGAGAGGGAGAGAGAGAACGAGAGTAAGGGAGAGAGAGGGGGAGATGGGGAGAGAGAACGAGAGCAAGGGAGAGCGAGGAGAGAGAGGAAAGCGAGGAGAGAGAGAGAGAGGTGGGAGAACGAGCGTAAGAAGAGAGAGAAGTGAGACGCGAACGAGAGTAAGAGAGAGAGAGAGATGAGAGAGAGAAGAGAGAGAGAGTAGAGGAGAGATTAGAAAAGAGAGAAGAGAGAGAGGAGAGGCGGAGAGATAGGCGAGAGGAGAGAGAGAGAGAAGGGGGATTCGGATAGACAGAGAGACAGACAGATGACAGACAGACAGAAAACAGACAAACAGACAGAACAGACAAGACAGCATGACAAGACAGACAGGAAGACAGGACAGACAGAAAGACAGAACAGACAGGCAGAAGACAGACAGACAGACAGACAGACACAGACAGAAGACAGACAGGACAGAGAGGAGAGAGAGAGAGAGAGAGAGAGAGAGAGAGAAAGAGGAGAAAATACGTTTTCATCGGTCATTCGTCTCTTTCATACATAGACCAGGAGAATGAAACCATGGAAAAGATGCCCCTAGAACATGATTTACACGTAACGGAAGAGACAGACGTGGACCAAATCTACAACAACCAGTGAGTCAGACAATTGATTCAAACTTATCTTAGCAAGTACTAAATTATTATAGAATATTGACTTTCCTAGTATCTTACTAGATAGGCTACACTTGGTCGGGAAATGACGTATAATAATAAACACAAATATATTAACAACATTCTAAATGATTCTATCTTCTATATTTCCTATTTTATACGACAGTTAAGATAATCAGAAGTAGGCCTACGTTAACCATTTTATTACAACAGAATTTTAATTAACGCAACCGTATTATTATTATAACACGAATGACATCCTGAACTCCATATAACGAATGTACGACACACCAAACTCTAACAATTTTTCTACCTTCTGATTTATCAGAGATACCTCATTCTCTAAACCTGCTCTAAAATGTTCCACAATGTTTCTAGCTTCTGATTTATTAAGCTGGGTTTACACTACCGACTTTATGTTGGCGAATTGGCGAGTTGGACCAACTTTCCAATTCGCCAACTCCGAGAATGTGAACATGTTCTAATCTCCCAACTAGTTGCTATCGATCGGTTGGTCGCGCAACTTTTGCGTTTACACTGCCGATTGTCGGTTGTATAGTTGTGAAGTTGGTCCAATTCGCCAATTCGCCAACGCAAAGTTGGTAGTGTAAACCCAGCTTCAGAGATACCTCATTCTCTAAACTTCCTCTAAAATATTTTTCAATGTTTCTGCGCCTGTCATCTTCTGACATCGCAGCAATGAGAAGCTCGGAGAGGCGGATAACGCTGAGAATGGCGGCGGAGATCGGGACGTGCAGCAGCAGCGCTACGGCGACAAACATCATCAACACCACGAGAAAAAGTAAGCCACTGTGCGCATGCGCCGTAGCTATCGTGGAAATTCTGGTGAACAAAGAATAGGTCCGCGTAGGTCACGCGTGCCTGTATACCACTAACGCGTGCCTCCCACCACTAACCTTGTGCTCGCCTTTCGTCTCCAGGCCCCTGACGTCACACCAGGACGAGGATCCGGAGGAGGGGCAGGCGGCGAGATCACAGGAGGACGCCGCGTTTGCGAAGGGCATGCTGCTTGCCATCAGCTACGGAGCTGCCGTCGGCGGTACGGCTACGCTGACGGGCAGTCCGCCTAACCTCGTGCTCAGCGGTCTCGTCGAAACGTAAGCGGCGACAGTGCGCGGAACCCGTAGAAGAATATTATATATATATATATATATATATATATATATATATATATATATATATAATATCATACAATATTATATTTTATAATATATTATTATATATATATATACATATATATATATATATATATATATATATATATATATATATATATATATATATATATATATAAGAATATATCGCGTAAAGCGATGACAAGCGATAAGCAGCAGCACACGTTCGCCGTCATTACCTAATCGGCCGTCTCTCGATGATCACGTGATGACGCGCGTATTATTGCGTCAGTCATTGTTGCGCTATGATCTCCTATGTATCAGATTGAACCGTAACGACCCTAACAGTAACCTTACCTCAAGATGTGTGCTTTACCTCAGGGTTAGCGTATTGTCATAGGGCTCTTCCCGGAATAATAATCTGTCTCAGAATTACCGTAGGGTTACCCCATGATAACTACATTACTTCAGGCTTACCGTAGGGTTATCCCAAGATTAGTAAATTACCTCAGAATATTACTGTTGTGTGGAATTATCTACGAGAAGATACTCTTACTGGATCATCGCAGTGTTACCCGATTATCGTTAGGTTAAGATTATATATAATTAGTAGATTTCTGTGGCATTAATTCTACACCCATTGACGTTGACTGTTTCAGCTGGTACCACGGCAAGGCTGGGCTGAACTTTGCGACTTGGTTCGGCTTCGCAGCGCCATTGTCTGTCGTCATGCTCGTCATTCTCTGGTTGTGGCTTCAGTTCAACTTTCTAGGAGTCAGGTAGGCTAATCGAAGCTCGGGCTCAGCCCTAGCTAACATGCATTTACGGCTAGCTAACGTGCATCCATGGTTAGCTAGCTAAATTGTGCTCACTTATAGCTATTGAGTTCTCAGACATAGCTGTTGAATTCGCTTAAACCTCGCTTAAACGCATTCATCACTCTCGCGCTACCTGGCGCATTTGACACGTAAAAACGTGTATGACACGCGTGTTTTCTATTCCACCTCCATCGAAAGCTTTGCAAGTTCGAGGTTAAGGCTAGCGCTATGTTTAAGGTCAAGGTTTGGGATGAGGTTTGGGTTAGAGTTGATGTTAGGGTTAGGGTTGATGATAGGGTTAGGGTTAGGGTTAGGGTTAGGGTTAGGGTTAGGGTTAGGGTTAGTGGTAGGGTTAGTGTTGAGGTTAAGATTACGGTTAATGCTAGGGTTAGGGTTGAGGTTAGGGTTAGGCTTAGTGTTAGGCTTAGGGTTGATGATAGGGTTAGGACTTAGGGTTAGGGTTAGGGTTAGGGTTGAGGTTATGGTTATGGTTGAGATTAAGATTACGGTTAATGTTAGGGCTAGAGTTGATGTTAGGGTTAGGGTTATGGTTAGGGTTAAGGTTAGGGTTGAAGGGTAAAGATTACAGTTAATGTTATGGTATGTAAGGGTCTTTCCTTGGTGTTGCGGATGCAGGACGCTATGTGGTTGCTGCATCAAGGGCAGAAATTCAGCCGACGCTGCCGTAGAGAAGGTTATCAAGGACGAGAACAGCAAGATGGGACGAATGACGTGAGTCTACAACTTATTGTCGTACGTGAGCGAGAGATGCGTGATATTGCCCCTGAGGGAGGAAGAATGGCAGATAGAGAGAGAGAGAGAGAGAGAGAGAGAGAGAGAGAGAGAGAGAGAGAGAGAGCGCGCATTCGAGAGAACGAGAAAGAGGTATTGAGAGACATTGAGGAAAAAGGCAAAGAAATGGATTGAGAGAGAGAGAGAGAGAGAGAGAGAAAGAAGGAGACTAGGGAGATAGTAAGAGAGAAAGAGAGAGAGAGAGAGAGAGAGAGAGAGCAAGAGAGAGAAAGACAGAGAAAGAGAGAGCGAGAGAAAGAGAAGGGTAATAGAGAGATTTGTTGAGAGAAAGACGGAATGGAGAGGAAAAGATAGGGAGACCAAGAGAGACAGCGAGTGAGATAGATAAATAGAGAGGGAGAGAGAGAGAGAGAGAGAGAGAGAGAGAGAGAGAGAGAGAGAGAGAAAGAAGAGGTGGGAATAAAATACTATCATTACCTGTTCTATACATTAATGGCGTCTATATGATAGGTTTGCTGAGTGGGAGATCTTGGTTTGCTTCATATGTTTGGTTGTGCTCTGGTTCGCGCGTGATCCGAAGTTCATGCCAGGCTGGGGAGAAGCATTTGTCGACGAGTATGGAACAATGTAAGTGGATAATATAACTCATCAGTACGGGGAAACACAGTCAGGATTCTAATTTCTACAATAAATATTCAAATGGGTATTGAACCGTTATTTTAATTAAAACGACTTCAACCTTTTGCGATAACAATTTATTAAATTTAACTTAATTATACGAAAGTAGAGCGCTGTGATAGTCACGAGTAGGCTACCCTATGACAGAGGCACACGCGTTCGTGCGCTGTTACCCTGTTAAACTGTCAGACATGCAGAGTTCCAAACGCTGTCCATTCGTTAAAGGCGAACAGGAAGGTGTCACAGGGTAGAGTTACGTCACGTCCGTTCGTCACACATATGACGTAATTTTTTAGGTTTCCATCAGACGCTACGGCGGCGCTAACTATCGGGTTGATAATCTTCATGCTGCCTGCGCATGCGCCCCCTTGTCTGCAGGGTATCTTCCCACTTCCAGGGGAAGAGAAAAGCGGTAGGATACCAACCAGTAAACTATAACCAACTGTATATATATACATATACATATACATATACATTAGGGCTGTAACGATCCACTGAAATCCAATCGGATCGAGATTCGCTTCCCTCGATCCGATCTTCGATATTTTTCCCCGTATTTTCGATTGCACTTCGATACCACTTTTTTTCTCCAATAGATGGCGGCACTACGCTATATACTGTGGAGTGTTACCAGAGCATATAAATCACTGATTATAACCAATCACTCTCGAACCAATGTTACTCAATGATTCTCACCAATGTTACTCATCGACTGTGCAGTGTATATATACTCTCTAGACTCTCTAGTCTATTCACCATTTAGTATTCATTGCCAATTTCTAATAACTTATTATTGCAAAATAATGAAAATATAAAAAATAAGATAACATTTCAATATTTTGGGAATCGAATCGAAGGAATCGAATCGAGAGGCTAATATCGAGAACCGGATCGAATCGAGAGGCTTGTGTATCGTTACAGCCCTAATATACATATACATATACATATATATTAATATATATATATATATATATAGTTTTATATATATATATATATAATATAGTTTTATATATCCCTCTACTATATCTCTACTTTATTTACGTATTTGCACCGAATCTACCACCAGAGGGAGACAAAAGTGGTCTGAATAGCAATGTCGTTGTACCATGGTAGCCATCCCCTTATGGCAAACATCCCACTTCTCTACATTGCATATGTGCATGGGCATTGCCGTGTTTAGCAGCGTGTGTATCGCATGCGCTTGGGGATTCGAGCTTTAATGCCCATGCGCAAAGTACAAGGGAAATAACGTTTGCCATAGAAGGGATATCCACCATGCTACGCCGCCCCCTATGAATAGACATAGGTCCATACGTCGTGACATGGGTCGATGTTTATGTGGTTGTCATGGCAACAATCGTGGCACCTGAGGGGACGTGTATTGTGTTTCAGGTGTAAGGAGACATTCCACGGAATCCCTGCTGCCCTGGGATAGTGTTCAGCACAAGATGCCATGGGGAATCATTCTGTTGCTGGGCGGAGGCTTTGCCTTGGCAGCCGGTGTAGAGGTGAGAAAACAGCGCGCATGCGCAACGGCCTGACGCTGATTATGATCCTAGCTTTGATTGTTCTGGAATGAATCACGTGCTGGACAATGATAGACCGGATTGTTGTGATTGGTCTATAGCATGTCACATGCAAGCACCTGCTAGATTGGATCGTTATGATTGGTTCTAGAATAGATCACGTGTTTGGCACTGTTGAAGCGTATTGCTCTGAACCAGGACTGTGTTGCCAGGAAAGGTTTTCGTTCTAATGCTTGAATATTATATATTGTGTTATTACGTATATACTGTGTATACTATTCAAATTAAAAATCGTTTAAGACTGCTGAGCAATAGAGGAAGAACATAATTACGCATATATGTACACGCATATATATACGCACAATACTGCACAATTACCACAATGGTGTTCATGTGACTAAAATTAATAGTCAATTACTAAAATTGATAGTCAATTTACTAAAATTGATAGTCAATGTGTCATGGATTAAAATTGACTATCACTTGACATGACTAACATTTTTCTGCAGGAGTCCGGTCTGTCGGCGTGGGTGAGCGGAGGACTGTCATCACTCAACGTGCTGCCCGTCTGGGTGGCCGTATGGGCCGTCTGTCTTATCACCGGCTGCATGACAGAGATAGTATCCAATACTGCCACCGCTAACATAGTACTGCCGCTGCTAGCGAAGCTGGTAGGGACCGCCAGATGGCGTCTACTAAGGACGTTCATAATTATCGGTTGCTGATTGATTAACGATTGATGACTGATTCGGGTGGGATCGATTACCGATTGATAGCCGATCAATGACTTATTGATGGGTGATCGGTTACTGAGCAATGCTGATTTGTGGCTGATTGGTGACTGATCAATGTCTGGTGAATGATTGGTGATAAACGAGTGATCAATTTAGTGATCAATGATTAATTGATGGGTAATCGATTGATGATCGTGAATGTTTGGTACGTGAAATCAGGGTATGACTGTATGACACATACAGTACGTATGAAGTAAAGGCCTATTTTTAAGCTGTCGTATTTCATTCGAGTTCAAACCACACGTGCTCTATCGTAAATTATTCGTATTGCAAAGACCTAAAAGAGTTCAAGATTCCCGGCATGTTGTCAAGGAGATGTGTTGCTCCGATATGTCGAAACGTGACGTTGATATTTGACCGCATCGTGACATCTTGTCTCTGCAGGCGACGTCGTTGAACGTCAGTCCTTTGCTGCTGATGATGCCGGCGACCATAGTGGCATCATTCGCATTCACGCTTCCTGTTGCAACGCCACCTAACGCCATAGTGTTTGCCACGGGCGAGCTACACGTCGTCGACATGGTAAGCATGTGCGTGCGTGCGTGTGTGCGTGCACGCGTGTGTGCGTATGTTCGGGTGTGCGAGCGTGCGCGGGAGCGTGGAATCGTGTGTATGTTCGTGCGTGCGTGCGTGCGTGCGTGAATATGCACGGGAACGCGTATTCACTCGTGTGTGCGTGCGAGCGTGCACGGGAGCGTGAAGTCGCGTGTATGTTCGTGTGTGCGAGCGTGTACGGCAGCGTGTAGGCCCTACTCACATATATATTCGTGCGTGCCGGTGCGCGTTCGCGCGTGCTTATTATAGTGCGTGCGGGCACATGACGCATGTTTAAATTCTAATTATATGGGTAATATATATAATGGCAAAGCGAACAAACGTCACGTTACGGTTATGCACGGACCACAGTAATTATGATAATTTAATATAATTATTATATTATATAATATATATATATATATATATATATATATATATAATTATTATATTATATGATAATATATATATATATATAATAATAATTATTATTAAATTATATAATAATTATTCTAGGCCAAGTGTGGAATAGTGATGGACATCGTTGGGCAGCTGCTAGCTATGGGACTTGCCATGACTTACGGAGTGCATGTTTTCGGATTCGGCACATATCCGGATTGGGCCAAAGATCCGTCAGAGATGCTCACGTCGACTGTGGCAGCCATCAACGTCACGACAGAAGCCATCTTATAGATCATGGCGATCTTAGCACGCACGCACGCGCACGCACGCACGCACACGCACGTGTAACGTAGAATTAAGAGTTCATGTAGGAATGATGAAGTAGAAATCCAAACTTGTGTTTTAAACTTATAAATGCGTCTAATTCATGCAACATCTGTAGATCATATGTTACACACGCACGTATAAATACACAACGCACGTATAAATACACAACGCACGTATATATACACGTACACGCATACATACACGTACACGCGCGCACACACGCATACATACACGTACACGCGCACACACACGCATACATACACGTGCACGCGCGCACACACGCATAAATATGCATACAACTATAGACACGCAAGCGCGTAAACATACGCACTGACACGCGTAAGCACGAGCACGCACGCACGCACGCACGAACCGTCCACGCACGCACGCACGAGCACACACGCACGCACGCACGAGCACACACGCACGCACGCACGCACGCACGAACCGCCCACGCACGCACGAACGAACCGCCCGCGCGCGCACGCACGAACCGCCCCCGCACGCACGCACCGCCCACGCACGAACCGCCCACGCACGCACGCACGAACCGCCCACGCACGCACGCACGAGCACACACGCACGCACACACGAACCGCCCACGCACGCACGCACGAACCGCCCGCGCGCGCACGCACGAACCGCCCACGCACTCACGCACGAACCGCCCACGCACGCACGCACGCACGAACCGCACACGCACGCACGCTTACACACGTTCACACAAACACGCGCGCGCACGATCACACAAACACACGCGCGCACACGCACACACAGTCACGCACGCGCAGGCGTACATAATGAACATGTTATGGGACCAAACCAACTACCTTCAATTTGATAGCGAGCTATGAAATTTAAATTAATTATAAAATAATATAGATTTACCTAGTGCCAAATGATATATTGACGGCCGGTGTATTTTAGCTGCCTCCACTGTTTATGTAGTTTAATTTTATTAATCTTATTATTACAATCACAATTAAATTATCGATTCAAAATATTGACCCGTGAAAAATTATACTGCCGCCAAAGCAGTTTCCCGTGCATCTACTCTGAAAAGCCAAGTATCATAACCATATCAAACCTTGTTTATAAATAGAATATGAAACATTTATACCAGTAAACCGAGTTATTATTATTATTTATTTAGTTTATTTCTTTCCAAGAGTAGCTTACTATTTTACATAATTACTAAAACCAATTATGTTATTGCTTGTTTACATTAAACCTCGTTATTGTAAGCAATTAATTGATGTACCTCTCCCCCTCTCTATCTGCCTTTCTTTTCTCTCTCATTCACGCTTATTCCCGCTTCCACTATATATTTTTCTTTTAATGATTTCTATTTCTATCCTATAATGCTATAATCTATGAGCCAAACTATTATATTAATGCCAAGGTCTCCTTGTTGCACAATATTCAAATATAAGCATACATAGTGTGTTATTATGTATGTCTACATCCTATAGTCATAAATTGAATATATTGTACATGTATAAATATATATATATATATATATATATATATATATATATATATTATATACATATACAATATATTCCGATTATGATTATATCAGATAGCTGCGAGATTCTTTATGAAGTATGGTAACATTGAGTTTATTTCCCTCTTTGTCACGACATACGTGACCTACTCTCATGCCTAACCTTCTACTCGCCTATTAGCTAGTAAAAATGATTTCTAACTATAGCTCCATACCATACTAAACTATGGCACATAAACAACTAAACAAAGGCTAAACATCGCAAATATTTTACATATATGCAATAAGCTAGTTAGTCACAACTATTTTAACAGGGTTGTGCAAGGGAAAGCATCTTTGCAACACTTCCTGATACAGCACTACTAATAAACTACCGGATATTATGATATCCGCAACGATTGCGAAATAACCAACGATACGAATAAAATATGCACCACTCCAACCCGAACACGTCTATTTACACTAACAATACGGTTGCCATCGCTTGAGCAAGCTTCAGTAGTAGTTGCACAGTACATGGAAGGACAGGAGCAGAGGCACTGGAGCGTTTCAATAAAATATAATGCTAAATAAATACGAAATCTATTTACTACCAAATTCTTGTATATATATAAACTATATATTTAAGTGTCAGTGTGCAGCGTGAGGAATTGCGGCCGGTAGCGTGTGTTGCACATAAAGGATTTGGACGGAATTTACACAAAACTGTCGGCAATAATAGGTGAAAGAGAGTATAGAAACATTAATAATTTGGTAGTAAATAGATTTCGTATTATATTTTATTGAAACGCTTCAAGTGCCTGTGGACAGGAGTGTTAGAGAATACTATACAGCTAAGGAGGAGAGGGAATCTAGTCTCCATTTGTCTCTGCAAGTAAACAGAGGAAATCTCCCCCCCCCCCTAACGAAATGCATAAAAGAGACACGCATCAACTATTTCACGCGACACCCCCGCACACATCGCTAGTGCGTCGGCGTCGCCTGTGACACAGGGGGCGCTGCCGGTAGCGCGAGCGGAGGCCGTGCACTTATCTCCAGGTGGCGCAACCGTCGCTTCAGCTCCAACCAGAGCATGCGCCGCTCTTTGACGGCGCCCTTGAGCAGACTCTTGTTTTCCTGCGCTCGCCGCGCGAGGTACGGAAGCACTTTCTCTATGGGACCGTAAGGCACGTACTTGTACACAGAGTAGCCGGCTTGACCTACAGGAGAGAACCGGCGGTGGATGAGGCAGCAGATGACTTGACCTGACTAGGAGCAATGTAATAACACACAAGCTCGACACTTATAGAATATACGTATATTAATCTTTTTTAAATTAATTTTTTTTCTTTTTTTAATTAATTTTTTTATTGAATCTTTTTTTTTAAATTTTATATCATCGCGTTATGTGTGATTGTTATTTTGACAGTTTTCTTTTACCATCTTCCTCTTGAGCGAATGAAGACACAAACACAGAATGGCATTCGTGCATCGCCCGTCACAATTCCATCCCCAACTATATCATTTCTAATGTTGATGTCTCCTCAACACAAATCTTCCCATTTCTGTTGCCCATGTTTGCGTACGACTTAGAGAAGACGTAGAACTTACCTAAGCTAAAGCTGACCTGATCACACATGCCTAGTAGTTGCCCAAAGCAGATGACCTTGTCCTGGGGACCAATGCCATATTCCTGCATCCTGCCAACGAACAGTATTCATAAGACATCAGAGTGAATTACCTACAGAGTGACATCTCCCACGCAGTCGTATTTGTCTACTAAGTATATCTACTGAGTGAACTTGTCATCCATGATGACTTCTACAGAGGAAAAGTGTTTGTGTTATTGCAGCTCGTCCGTTATACGTGAATCTATAGTTTTAATCAAGAATGATGCTCGCATCTGACTCAACTACCTTCAAGACCAAAAACCAACTTTCATGACCAGAATATCTCTTTGTACCACCCTATGACAGGACCAGCACCTCGCACCACCCTCACGCCCAGATCATCACCCTGCCACACCTTGTGTCTTGAATCTGACCCCCTGCTCCCACCTCCCACTATGACAAGAGCATCTCTCTACCGCACCCCCAAGACAGGCACACGAACCTCCTCTTACCCTCACAACGACAACATTTCTCTGCCACACCTTATCATCACAGTCTGACCCTGCCGCTCCACCCACCAACGAAACGAGCACCACCCTGCCACACCCCAGAGCGCTACACACACATTATAGTAACACCGCCGCTGTCCTGCCCTCACGAGCCGAGCAGGCCTCCACCGCACACGCAGTCGGCAACCCTACGCCGTTCTCCACGCTCCCACCCGCGCGTCTGCGGTCGTCGCGACGACAAGAGAGCGTACTTCTGTATGGCCATGCGCACGGTGTTCTCGTTGTGCCCCCCCCCCGCGGTCGCGACGCGGGGGGGGGGCGCACAACGAGAACACCGTGTGCATGGCCATACAGACGTACGCTCTCTTGTCGTCGCGAGACAAGAGAGCGTACTTCTGTATGGCCATGCGCACGGTGTTCTCGTTGTGCGTTGCCATCATGATTGCCACCTGCTGGAAGCCGCGGCCGCGCACATGCTGCATGCACGTGTCGACAACGCGCTCGTACATCGCGTTCGTCGCCTCATAGGTGGCGTTGATCGGGTCGACGTAGCCGAGCGACTGCGCCCTCGCGCGCTCCTGAAACGAACAAAGGTCGGCGGGGTCAAAGATCAGCAACCGGTGACCTCTGTCAAAGGTCGCGCTACGAGAACATCCACAAAGAATTTTGCGTTCAGTTGCGTTTGTATAAAAATTAGTTTATCTCAGTTAGATCAATAATAAGTTATAATTACTTACAACGATGAAATTTTTGTCAATCTCTCCGATAGATTTCCTCGGAAGAAGTAATTAAAACTTATTATGGATCTAACTAAGATCAACTTTATTTTTATGTGAACTGTAGTAATCCGATGAAAGTATTCAATCAGTTGGATTGTTGGCAGCAGGTTACAGAGTTCGATTCCGGGGGGTTGCATCTGCTACGTGAGCTAGATTTACATTTACTGTTGTGTGAGCGAGGGATTCTGAATTTACTTGTTCTGTGTACATGTGGGTCACAAGAGTTTACTTGTTCTATGTAAACATGGGCTGTAGAATTATTTGGCCACTCTATGTAAGCAAAGGTTTCAGAATTGACTGCATTCTCTGTGAAAAAAATATTCGCAGAAATTAGACCTACTTTATGTAAATAAACGTTTCAGAATTTGCGTGTTTCGTGTAAGCAAGGTTTTTAGATTTCACCTGTTACATGTAAAGGCCGCCGCACACCTACATCGCTTCATCGCTTCATCGTTTGTAAAATTGGCTCATCGGCTCATCGGTTCAAAAATCTAAAC